TTTCTTATTAGGACTTATGGACCATCAACTAGAAAAGGCTCATGGATAATTGGTTTTATATATGGTAACTGCAGCAAGGCTATTATATGCACAAAGTTGGAAGACTACAGAAACACCAATAATGGAGGACTAGATTGTGAAGATGGCTGAGTTTACAGAAATGGCTAAATTGACTTGTTTGATTAAGAAGGGAACTACAACTACTTTTATAAAAGACTGGAAACCCTTTATAGACTTTTTGGAAAGTGGAATAATAAAAATGGATAAAAATGAACTGTTGATTTCAGGATTTATTGATTAAAAAGGTTTGTCTATGGGAAGAAGGGAACCGTGATATGCAATATGGGAGAGTGGAAATGGTAATTGCTATTCTTGTAACTGCTGCAAAGAAGATTGGAAGTCACTTCTTTACGTATCTTTTTCTTTCCTTTTTGTTATACGTCACTTTTTCTTTTACCCTTTTATAATTTCTTTTTCTACTTCTTATTTTGTTTCTGTAGTTTTTTTAATCTTTGTAAAATCTTCTTTTAATATATATATTTTTTAAATAAAGGACTTTGGTCTTCCAGTTAAATGTACTACCTTTGCCTCCTAGTAAGCAGTTCATGATAAAATGTTTTTGATTTTACCCTCAATTCCAAATATAAGAGGGTATAATTATTAAGCAACAACAAGAAAATTTAACTCTCTTATTATCACAGTTCTTTGGATGTATATACATGATTGATGCCAGATACCTTCTTTTTATTTATCAGTTTTAAGGAATATTTCATTCTTTTTTTTTTTCTATTAGTAGATTTTTTTTAACTTCAGGGCTTCAGCAGAATTTGCTATAAATTTGTCGATCTTCCTGTAATGTATGGACAGGATATCTTTGACCTGTCAGCCAAATATACATTTTCAGACCTCTCAGGCTAAACTCCTGGACGCCCCCCATCCCCCAGGCATGCTCCCTGTTGTCAGGCTTCATCCCATTCTCCATATTGCCACTCTCTCAGCAGCCTTACTCATAATTTAAGTTCACTTATATTTATCTCCCAAGAAGTTGGGATGAAAAAAATCTGAATGTACTGTATATGTCGTTTGCAATTATTCTTTACTGAACAAAAGAGTCATATCCATAACTCAGCCACTTTTTGCTATGAAACCATCCACTTTGACTCTAACTACAATATATTCTAGAATCTAATTTACTGTGGCAGGTTTTTACTGAGATAATGTAGATCTTACCATGAAAAAAGGTTCTCTGTAATTATCTTAGGTGGATTGTTGGTCTATTCTTGGATCCTGCTTTGCATTTTTCCCTTTCCTCTTCATATCTTCTGCTTACAGAATAAACATATAAGTTCAATACACAATAATTCATATTGGTAACACCTAATGATTAATTATAACAGTTCTATCTTATTGTCATTGACATGTATATAACATATGACTCTTACTGTTAATAAAGTCTGCAAAGTTGCATTTCTGCACTCAGTGTTTTGCAGAATAAGAGTAAGTGACATGCATTAACTCCCATTTTTGGTACATTTCTTCATGACTGGACCTCCAAAATTTAGCATAAGAATTCCAGGTTTCAGGGACAAGATTTTTAATGCTTTGTTCCAGTATTTTAAGAACAAGAATAGTATTAGATTAACGTATCTGTTTTGGGGTAATTATTAAAAATATTTTATGGCTGTCCATCTTAAGAGACACAACTCTGGGCAGCTCACAGCAATGATATAAAACCAAAACACCATGAAAAGAATAAAAGCAAAAACAAAAACCTGACGCCACAACCATTCTCTTCCAATGCAGCCAACATCACTGTCTTCAGGCTGCAACCTCACCCTATCCCCATGCTTGTGGCAAGAGGTGGCTCTTTATGGCCTTCTGGAAGGTTAAGAGGGTGGGGGCCTGCTGGATTTCAAAGGAAATAGTATTCCACTGGGTTGGAGCTGCTGTGGAAAAGGCACATTTCCTAGGTCCCACTAGATGGCAACATTTAAGGGAAGGGACCTATAATGGGCCTTCTCTACCCAATTTGGTGGAATGGGCAGGTATCCTTAAGGAGAAGGGGTCCTGCAAATAACCTGACCCTATTAATCTCCTCAAATAAGGGCAGAAATATCACTGTGGCCCTTTCTGACAATGTCATTACATCACTGTGCCTCCTCTGTGTTTCTCAGGTCAAAGAACTAAAAAAAAATTCAAGTGTGGTCTCCATAAAAACATGGTCTGCTCTCTGTGCTGCATGGGACTGCATATAATTGATGAATTAACTTGAAGCAACATTGGTGGAGCCAGTATCAAAACCAGTTTTCAGTCTCTGCTACTCCATTTTGTTCTCTCCCATTCTCTTTTTCCATATTCAGTAGGCTGCCAAGGGCTTGGATTAATTTTTGTAGAGGAATTTTGAAATAGTGATGATCGTGTGTTATCCTAGAACTGTGGGTTGCCTTCTCTTATATAAAGCCTCTAATAGTGTTTGCCTGCTAATAAATTTTCATAGAGTTGGTGGCCTTGATAATTAAGATACAATCTATTTGAGGATCAACTCTTCTTTTTCTCAAGGACATTTATGTAGTTCAGGAGTGCGAGTCCAATGGGTACTATTACCATGTTCATACTGTACAGTCAAGGAATTGATAATTCATATCTACTGAGCTGCTCTCCAGATCTCTCTCCCTCTCTTCCCCCCCCCCATGCCCTTAAATTTAAGGTAGAAACAACACATGAACATTGTACAAAATAGACTTAGAACATGCATGCACAAAATCAGACGACCCTCTCCCTCAAATGCAAAATGGAATCCTGATTCTGCATATGTGTTTGACGTGGCTGCAGCCACTTTGCAAGACCATAATTCTACTCACTATGCTCCCCCAATAAAACACTGGGCCAACACAATGTAAGTCAAAAGAGGTGTTCTTTGTTCTAACTGTCCCATTGGCTCCAAGCATGAATAGAGAGGAAAAAATTGGAAAGGCAGGATTCCTGTTTGCAGTCCAGCTAGATGCAGCAGTACTTTGTATGTGGACATTGTGCTTGTTGTCGTTGGAACTGCTAAATGCCAAATTCTTTTTTATCCTTTGTAACCTTTCATGGTTAAGAAATAGGATGCAGGCAAATGAGATTTCTATACAGCTCCTTGCATGAAGTCCCTGGGAAATGCATAATGGGTAGCACCTTGCTGATATGTTTTAATAGATGTTCACAATCCTTGACAATAGTGGCCCAATAGATGCAATTACTTCAACAATTTCCTTAGGTTTTGCATAAGCATAAATATTTCCTTAAATCTTCCCAGCTGAGAATCAGAATCATCCTTTCATGCAGTGGAACCCAGGCTTTGTTTTCATGTTAGCTCAGTCTGGAGTAATTCAGAAACATATTAGGTAGACTGCTGCTCCCCAAAGACTTAATGGAATAACCCTCCCTTTCAGCCTTGGGGAAATAAGCTCACAATCAGGCAGGTTTCTTGATTAAAGAAAGAACTAAATGTGGCAAATTGCTCTATAACAGTTTACCCATAATCTGTGTTAGACATTTCTTGCAGTTCAGAAATTGATAATATTCCTTCTCCCTAACATGCATATACATATACAGAGGAGCAGGCCTGTGAAATGCAAAATGCCTTCAGTTTATTCCCATTGCTCCTGAATCAGCATTTTTTTAAATGTAAAATTTTATTTTAGTAATTGATCACCAATTCTGGGGCTCCCTGTTCATGAAAATCAGTGAAGTGAAACCATATCTAAACTATGGTTTAAATGTATGGGCGTGTGCATAGCTAAGTGTATATGCACCATTAAGTCAGTCTGGCTGAAGCAAACTGGTGTAACTTGGTATTGTCATTTCTTATTTTGGTAATATTTTTGATTCCATATACAACAAAGAAATGTAAGTGATTACATGTAATGTTTTTTACTATAGGTGTTTTCTGTTCAAATTATTCAATAAATCAAAAGCAGGCCAGTTGCTGTAGGTAATATTTAGAACTGGATATTTGAAAGATTGTCAGTAGGTTTCCTTTGATTGAACAAGACACTCATGTCAGGTGAAAAACATGCTGTATTTTGATGAATGGCTGCATTAAGATGCCAAGTCTAGGGACGCAGTAAAGAGCAGTTCGTACTTCCTTGCATTCATTTTTTAGAAACTTGAAAGTTTATATTGCGTAGAGGAAATGCATTTTAATGTTTTTCACTTTCTGTTTGTTTGTCATTATGAAGGTATAGTTTCAATCTTCCCTCTGCATTAAAGAATATGTGCAGTTGATGTTCGTTTATTCTGGATAAGATTACTTCCTTAGTTAATTAAATAATTTTCAGCTAACTAGCCAAACTAGCCCAACCTCACAGGGACACATTGCTATATTTTGTTTGAAATAGTCATGAACTTTATGTTTCAGTGTTCTCAGAAATAAAATGGAATTGCAGACTGTGGGTAGGTGCCTCATTTCTAACTGATATTGCCTTCAAACCAGACTGGTTAAAACCAGAGAAATTAAATGGGAACAAGAAATAAGAGGATTTTTTTTTTTTTTCTGGATTTCCAAGGCCATTTTCCCATGTTTTCTTGGTCACCAGATGATGGCAGGAACTCATCTCTATTCTATCAGTTTGGGTCAGTTATTGAAATCTTAGACTCATAGTTGTGACACTGCGCTTAGTACCTCATGAGGAGTCACTGATAAACTCTTTGAGCATGATTGCCAGTTTTAATTTCTTGGTATCCACCACAAACTTACATAGCTTGCTAATCAGAATGTCACAGGATGGGATACCTTCTCAAATGTTTTACAAGATATTTTGAAATTTATAGCAGTACCACAGTCTGTTAAACAAGTTACCCAGTCAAGACTGTTTGTGGTTGGATTGGCTAGAACAGCAATAAAATTAAATTAAAAAACAGGCTAGCTTGGCAAGATGTGTTCTTGACAAATCAGTGCTGGCTTCTGTTAATATGTCGTATTGTTTCCAAGATTTCCATATATCTATATCTATAATTAAATTTGTATGGAACACTTCAAGAATTTGCATGTCATCCTTATGTAGGGGCCATGCTAAACTTTGTATCATTCCAATTTTAGTATATGTGCTGCCAAAGTGAGTAAATATATACAGTATATATATATTTTTCTCTATGTATGTGGAACTCCCTTGACTTTTCCATTATCTATCCGATGTTAGCAGTGTGATCATGGGTGCCTCTGCCTTTTCTGAATCCAGCTTACACATCTGGTAATTCTCATTCTTTGTACTGTTGAAGTGTGATTGTCAAATCTTGAGTATCATCTTACTAGCATGTGAGATAAGTGCAGATGTTTTTGATAGTTTGAGCATTCTTTAGCGTTGCTCTTTTTTTGTAATGGAATATAAATTGATACTTTTCAGTCCCTTGACCGTGCTATGTTTTCTATCCATGCTTATAAATCACATGTAGCTGGTATTCTCGTGCAGTTTTGTTAGCAGTATTTTCTAGGGCCTATTTTACTTCATCCAAGGATCCAGAAACATTATCTTAAGGGAGGCTTTGGAATATATTCTGAAGCTCAAAAGTGAAAGAGCTTTTTTGGCAATCTTGGGCTTTGTGTAATATTTCTCTAGGTCTCTGTCCCCTTTACTTGGCTTTGTTTTATCTTCTGGGAGGCTAGTTGATACTATTCCTTAGCAAATACTTCCTGCGTCTGATTCAACAAACCCTCATTGTCCATAATGAGCCGAAGCATAGATTCCTTTGTCTCTAACACCCTCACCTTCTTTTCCAGCTGCCATTGTAGCATGTGTAATTCTTGTCATGGAACTACATGACAACTTCCTTCTTGGCTCTCTTCTGCTTTTTCTCTTTCTTTAGACTCACACATCAGACTCCTGTTTGCTAAGTCAGTGATGCATATTTTTGAGATAGCCTTCTATAAGATATGAAAATACCAGGATGATATCCTAGCATAAAATGAAGAGCATTTTACTGTTGAAATCAATGGGCTTACATCTGTCTCATGGATTATAGCCTGAGTTTCAGCCACAAATATGTAGGGATGCAATTCTTATTATAAATACCATGATCTTTAATAAAAGCCTTTTGTGGAATTTAATTTAAATCTATAGATTGTTCCACACAGGAAACAATGTGATTAAAGTCATTAATTGGATCTATGTTTTATCCAGATTATACTGTATTAGTATTTATTGTTTGTTCTTATTTTAGCTCTGTTCTATTGATTGTAATAAAACTTGCAAATGCAAATGCAATAATATTTTATTGAAATATCTTAACCAACTTCAATTTTTTATATTCATACTAAGATTATTGCTACTTATCTCCTGGGAATTTGGAGGCATCTACCAAGTTTTCTCCTTAGGAATATCTTTGCATTGTATAACACAGGCTAAAAGAGTGAAAAGGGGGTGGAGATAGGAAGAACAAAAATAATTTTTTTGGAACTGTAGAGCTGGGCAGATCATGGTTCAAATCTCCATTCAGCTATGAAGTTCGCTGGATGACTTTGGCACATTCACTGTCTGATTTCATAAGGTGAAGATAAAATATGAAGAAAAATATGAAGAAAAACAATGTATCCTGGTATCCTGCTTTGAGCTCATACAGAAAAAGCAAATTAAAAATTAAATAGGTAATAATCCTGCACGAGCGGTTGATAAATCCTGTAAAAGAATGATGACCTGTAACCATTTCACTACTTGTTCATGCAGAGATCTGGAAAAATCAGAACACCAACACCATATAATGTTAATGTTAAGAGCAGAAGTGTGTAAGATTCAGCAGCTATTAGATAGTCATTTAGGAGATCAGCAGGAACATTTTTGTGTGTGCACTTGTGTATATACACATGCATTTTTCTCTATGGTGACACTGGTAAGCTTTGTTTTGTTGAAAATACAGTTTTATTCAAAAGTCTGCTTTTAAAACAAAAGTTGAAGAGGGGAATTATTGATTTGGTTGCTTGATGTAACAGTAAATATATTAAAGTGCTTGGAAAATGTAAAGATTCAGTAATACTAAATTACTCATAGGGGATTGGTGGAACTGGAGTAGGAAGAAGCAGTGTATTTCAGCTGATATGTAGTTCTCTCAAACCAGTGAAAAGCATCCCGCGATAGGTTGGTAAAGTATGAATTGGGCATATTTTAATTCTAGAGTAGGTGCAGTGGTTAAGGCACTGGGCTAGAAACCAGGAAACGGTGAGTTCTGGTCCTGCCTTAGACACAAAACTAACTGGGTGACCTTGGACTAGTCACCCTCTCTCAGCTGTAGGAAGGACGCAATGGAAAACCACTTCTGAAAAACCTTGTTAAGAAAACTGCAGGGACTTGTCCAGGAGGTTGCCAGGAGTCAACACTGACTCGAAGGCACCAAATTTTTTTTTTAAAAACCCATCAAATGATGTTGTTGTTATTATTGGATATGGGTACCTATAGATTTTCTGCCTAAATCAAAATAGCACTCTCAATACATCTGTACTGGGACAGTTTTCTTCCTGTATACCATAGGAATTCTGGAGGGCAGAAATGATATTCCAGTAATTGACCTCTATGCCAACAGAATGGCAACTATACCATTTTTATGAACTCCGAGTTGCTCTTTGGCCAGTTTTAGATTGCAGCCTAAGTCTTCCAGTTATGTTTTGAAACTACATTGTTTCCCCCTGCACATTAGATGAGGCATATAGTTTTGAAACTAATTAAACTTAATAAAACTAATTTTGCTACTGTAAACATTGCAGTTTAGACAATGGGTGTCCTTAAATATAGATATTACAAACACAAGGAACAACTTGTTGAAACTAGTCCAATAATCATATTTCTTTAGTAATTTCTAAAGTATTACCAAGTATTTCATTATTTTTAATATATTTATGTGTACATTTGTATACTTACAATGTCTTGTACGTTTTTTTTCAGATTCAGCCCCTGCTTTGAATTCTTTAAAATACTGTAAGTAAACCTTTTTTTTTTTCCTATTTGATTCATTCCAGTTAACAGTCATTTGCAATTATATGTCACTATGTGTATATTTATTCCCATTTAATGTACCATATTAAAACAGTCATTTGCAATTATATGTCACTATGGTGTATATTTATTCCCATTTAATGTACCATATTTTCCAACAACGATGTACTAGGAAATAACTTCTAGGTTGTTCTAAATTGCTTGGTTCTTTTGAAGTTAGTTTTTCAGATGTATGTCTGAGAAACCTCCCTATTTCCAATTTCTTTTAAAAGTAAGTTTTGGTTAAATTTCAGTACTGGTTGTAATTTGAAATGAAAACATAGATGTGATATGATGTGAGATATTAAAAGCTGAGCTGTAAAATAGCAAAGGGCTATAAGAGTTTTGCCGCCTGGGTGGCATATTGAAATAAATTAATCACTGATCATGTCTTCGTCCATGGAGAGGCTGTATGGGGTCGACCACATACATTCATGCAAGATATAACTTCCATTTAAAATAATCACAGTCCATTGTTGAGCTGAGAATGACCCCTGTTTCAAACCCTGGAGAGCTGCTGCCAGTCACAAAAGATGCTTATTTGCTGAGGCTGATCAGTGGTCTAGCTCTATATAAAGCAGTTTCAGAGGTTCAAAGGGTGCCTGTGATTGGGAGTCACTTGTATGTCCTAAAATCTCTAAGGCTACTGTATATGAATCATACCACTGATTGGCCCAACCTGTATTGTTTTCTGTAACTGCATCTCTCAACCTTATATATACAGTAATTATTCATATTTTCAGGAAGTGGTTTAAGAATATAAGTGGGGATATGATGAAATAATCAAAATTAGTAAAGATAAATGATGAATATAAATGCAAGAAAAGAAAACAGTTGACATGGTTAGTTAATCTGATTTGTACTTTGGGCAAGCCATATCCTGCGTTATCTTTAATTCTTATTTTGCAGTATAATGCATCAGATTTATAGACTTTTCTTGACATATGCATATTGGGTTGTATTTCTGTTCCTGATTCTCTAAAATATACAGATTTAAAATTAGTTAACCTTAAGAAGAATTGAATGCAGAAAAAGCCAATTCATTTTTTTTGTTTGATTTATATAAGAAGGACAAAAAATGATGTGAGGTTTAGTTCTATTGAAAAGACTTTGTTTTTAAAATATAAAGGTATTTAATTGCTTATATTCTAAGATTTCTTGGTCTAGCAGTTCAGGATGGGGCATGCCAGCAGCTAAATAACCACACACCCCCTTTAAGGTGTTACTCAGTTTGTGTAATATTATCTAATCGTTCATTAAAATATTATTATTTATTATCATTTAATACTGGGATACCTTTAAAATACTATCAAATAATGCTACTTTTGGTTTTGTTTTAATAGCTGATGGGAAAAAATAATAATATCTGGAATACGAATAAAATGTGAAAAATGACTAAATAACATATCTGGCATTTTTCTCTCCCTGATGTTCAAGTTGTAGATTTTCCCCTGGATATCTGAGGAAGTGGCTATTCCACACTCTTCCATTCATAAAAATTATCCTGGCAGGCTTCCGAGTTCTTTTCCTCTGATCTGCAATGCATATGTCAATACTTTCCTCTCTTCCCTTTCCTTCCTTGTCCCTCTTCTCTGAATCTGCAACCTCCCATATTTGTATGTTGCTCAGTAAGTCAGTAAGGATTTTAAGTAATGTCCTTCACTCTTATCACTTTCTTCCTCACTGAGTTCAGTTTTGCATTGGTGTAAAAATGATAATTTGTATTCACTTGTTTTCCTTACTGTCTGTGGGCCCTTGATATGTTATCTTCTGTCAGTAAGGGCAATCCACATGGATAAGTTATGATGTCCCTTATATAGATCTGGTGATGGAAATATTGGGGTCCCATTCATACATTTTAATGGGAAGAAGGACAGTTTATCTAATCTAAATTATGCATGCCTAGTTTCCTATGCATGGATTCTGTACTTTGAAATCTTTCTTTAGTACAAAACCTATTAAATAGGCATCATAGGTAAGCCTGTTTTGTTAAATGCTTGCTTGTTGTATTGATGCAGCAATCTGGGGGGAAAAAAGTGCTCACATTCCAGAATGTGTTATACCCACTGGGATTTGTTTTTGAAATCTTTAATTTTATTTCTAAAATTAAACCCAATAGAAATTATTCTATCGTCTACATTTGTACAAATTTAATATATTAAATACAACTTTATCTTTTTCATCCTAAAATTTTCCCTTCTGGTCAACATAATGTGTTCCACTCCCACACAGCTCTAAACAAGTGCAAAATGACGCATGTTGACACCAAAAAAATCCTAACTTCACCTATACATTAAAGGACCCTGGGTTTGCAGTGATTGACAAGGAAAGAGATCTTGGAGTCACAGTGGGCACTTCAATGAAAATGTCAGCCCAGTGTGCAACTGCTGTAAAAATGCATATTCCATGTTTAGAATTGTTAGGAAAATAATTGAAAATAGAACTGTGATAATGCCCTCATTCCAATCTATGTTGAGACCGCACTTGGAGTATTGTTCACAGTTCTGGTCACCACCTCTTGAGAAGGATATTACAGAGCTAGAAATGTTGCAAAAAAGCCCAACCAGCATGACTAAGGGTCTAGAGTAACTTCCTCCTAATGAAGAACCACAGCAATTAACCTCTATAGCTTAGAAGAAGGAAGTTAAGGGAGGACATGATGAGGGCATATAAAATCATTCATGACTTAGGTAACACTGAGAGAGATACTTTCTCTTGCCATATCAAGATCATCCATTAAAATTAAATGCAAGGACTGGCAAAAGGAAATAGCACATGTTGAACTGTGAAATTCACTGTCAACAGTTATGGTAATGGCAGCCATTTTGGATGATTTTAAAAAAAATCAGGACAGTTTAATGGAAAATCAGTCTATCAATGGCTATTAAGATTGATGTCTGTTTACTACTTTTGGATCATAGGTAGGATAGGTTACATGCCAGCATAAATACTGGTTGTTGGGAAGTGATAGTGAAGGGGAGAACCTACTTTTCAGGCCAGGCTTGTGAATGTCCTAAATGCATCTGTTCTGTGTTACACAGAATGGGCCTGTGTAACACAAGATGGATTAATGACCTGATGGTTTCATGCAGCAGAACTCTTTTAGCTTTTATTAGGGCTGTGCAGCAGTTTGAATATATAGGCAAAAAGGTACTTTGGCATGGACATAGCACTTATCAGCAACTCCTTAAACCAAATGCACCTTCTCCTGGGATTGGGAGACAACTACATGATCTCAGGAAAGATATGGCTGCTATGTGTATTTGCTCCCCCATGAAACTGGGAACGCTGCTGTGCTCTACTACTTGAATACACAGAGACTGTTCCAGTTAATTTCTATATAGCAGTCATAGATGATAGATAATCACTAAAACAAACATATCATATATTTATGTACAGCGGGTTTCAATCTATTTCTTGTTTTAGTTTGGTCTGGTCTTCATTTTCAAGCCATATCTGATGCATTGCCCACTGCCACATTTGATTTGGCTTTCTTATCTTGTTTTTAGACTGTAATTCTATATTTAGTAATTTATACTATTTTTATACAATCTTAGTAGTAGGGCAGTACAGAAATCCCATAAACAAATAATACATTTTTACATGTGTAAAGTGCTGGACCTTCAACTATATTAGCAATCATTACAACATACAGTATTTGTAATGGAGGTAGATCATTATCCCATTGTTGAAAGTCTGAGGCTAAGAGATCAGATGATTGGAGCTTGCATTAAATCTTCTGTTAAGGTCTAGACAGGGAAAGTTGACAGAACTTTTTGGTTCATAGTTTAGGATCTAAAGTCTTGGATTATGCTATCTCCTCCTCATGTAGTAAATTTCTTTCAAATGTATCTGATATTCTGAAACAGAATGAGAAAACTACCACCAATCGATTAAAAGATCCTGACCGTGCAAAAGGGTACTGAGAAACTTTCAAATGTTGACTTACTCATTTTTTTTTTTTGGTAAAATCACAGTTCTTTATTAATTGCTCGGAGCAAATTATTCCATTTCTACAACTATGTAAAGTAGATTATTTCTCTATGAATCCTGAGTTTAAGGCATGAGGCCCTGCTGTGATCGTCTTCCCATGCTGAGATTGCTACTCAGAACTTTTTAGCTTTAGGATGGTTAATACATTTTATAAACAGGGCAAAAAAACCGCTTGCTTAAGGTTATCTAGTAAACTTTATAGCTAATCATAGATCTTAACTAGTTTTACAGCGCCCAAACCTATCATTCTAGTTTTTGTATTACATTGTTTGTATACTAGTATGAGGCCAGCGTAAATGTACAATTTAACAGTTTCTACTTGTTGTCTTTCAAATCTCTTTTTTTGAGATAAAAGAGAAAATTTGCATGCCTTTTAAATATTTACCAATTTTCATGCCCTGGGGAAAAAGATTCTTCCATCAACCCACTTGCAAGCAGAATTCAGTCTTACTTTGGATTATCCAGAATATAAATCCCAGGGGATTTAATGAAGGAGGGATACTCCAAGATAAGTGGTTAGGCTAGGGGTAGCTTACTGTATTAGACTTCTGAGTGAATTTGAGTTCTGAAAACATATTTTATGCATTTAAAAAAAGAGGTGCCATGCAGGATGGAGGACTATTCATAAATGCTTTTCTTGGTGCCACCAAAAAACAAACAAATATACCCCAAACCCACCCTTCCTGGGGACATTGCTCAGTGCTACTTTCTGGGGTTTTCCCTTCTAATCCAATGTACTTTATTCTAGTTAAGTGGGTGCAGGCTCAAGTTTTATGTATTTATTATTTGGTAAAATAATTACTGAAGACTGGACCTTGGCTTTGCTCCATACCAATTCCCCTTTAATATATATTTTAATTAAGAGAATCTAAAAATCAACTTTTTAGATTCAGATGGGCTGGGAACCTGGGTAGTGCTATGTGAAGTGTTCATGAACACCCTGCTGCATA